CGTCAAAGCTACCCATATAGATTTGATGACAATTTCTTTCCCCAGTGCTTGCCCGAGTTGTACAAGCATGATTTCTTCGCATGTGAATATATATATATATATATATATATATATATATATCGAGTATAGTAATAATATAACTGCAATAAATATATATATATATATATATATCCAGTACAGTATAATATATACCATGGACATTGGACATAATTTAATATGTTTATAGTTCAAATTTTGCAACAAAAGGTGGAATTACAGTATTAAACATGTATGTGGTAATTATTGTAAACAAAGTGACAAGTAACTTACTGTACATTTTAACGCCGCATACTTATAAATATTTAATAGTCAGTATAACATTTTAAAACAAGCTTAATACAAACAATATGCACTGAATATTATCAGAATAATTCTCAATATTGTTTCATGAAAGAGAGGCGATATATAAATGACTTGTCCCTAGGTTTTGGTCTGCGAATTTGTTCAGTCTTTTCTTAGCCTAGAAGTCAGACAAGCCCAGGATACAATAAAGCATGCAAGCTTTTAGTATTCGTCTTTATATGAATACTATATTATTTTACTGTAAAAAGTCAACAAGGATACAAAATACACGACAGTTTTAACTCTACATTGCCGCAATTCCGAAGCTTTGCGTTGCTCGGTTTTACAAAACGGGAAGTGTAGTTTATGGAAGCTTGTCAATCACTTCATTTGAATCAGTTATCAACCAATCAGAGCTCTGCGTCCAAATATTGGACGCATGCACGTAAATATCATAAGGATCCTTGCAGGCTCTCTTTCACCCAGAGAGCCTGCTCGCAGGCTATTAAAAAAGATGTGCTGTGACTGGTCCTGTAGCCTGTAATGAATGAGTTCTTAATTAGAGGAACTTGATTTTGAGAGCTACTGGTCTATCTAAGAACTCGAGAATGTTCCACCAATTGCAGTTTTAGATAATTTGGTCAGTTTGCATCATGAAGCGCTTTATAACAAATTTTCAGAATGCTCCATTCACGTTGTTTCTCAGTTTCCCGATAACCAGTTTAAGGATAAAACGTCGTCTGTTCTAGCGAATTTACCCAACACGAAATTATCCGCTGCTTTGTGCACCATTTGTAGACGTTTCTCTCTATACAGGGTGTCTCAAAATCATTGAAATAACGTATTGTTCGAATTTCAATGCCGTAACACAAAGGATTTTGACAGGGTGATTAATTTGTTTTAAAAAATTAAAATATCTTTGTAAAGTGAACGTTTGTTTGCTCATGGGAATTTTAAAATGCTTCGTAAATTCGTGGGTTTAGTACTTTATGCCTGACATAACAAGTTTACGCTGAGTATTACCATTCATTATAGCAGTTATGTCAATCTTTTATGCACTCGTGGGATTAACTTAGTGCTAGGGCATTGAATATCGAACAATACGTCAATTTCAATGATTTTGGTTTTTTTTGAGACACCCTGTATAGTTATGCAGGGTGTATAAAAAAAAACGTAACCTCGGAATTTCCCAAGAAATCGACATTGTTTTAAAGACAAAAGATTTTAGGCGCCTGGGAATTTAAAATAGCACAACTGTCAAAATTATTGCACACGCGAGTGCATAAAGCAAAATTTATGCATTTATTTAATGCACAACAACAGTAATATGATCTATTAGCAATTCGATTTCAATTCCCAGGGGCCTAAAATCTTTTATGCTTAAGAATTGCAAAGTGATTTCTTAGGAAATTCCGAGGTTGCGTTTTTTTTTATACACCCTGTACATATCACGATTTATGCTAATAATATATAATAATAATATGCTAATACAACACCATTAATTAATATACCAGAAGTGAATCTTAATTCCCTGTTAACCTCCATTCATATAATATGTACCGTACTATATATATATATATATATATATATATATATATATATATATATATATATATATATATATATATATATATATATATATATATATATATATATACAGGGTGTATAAAAAAACGCAACCTCGGAATTTCCTAAGAAATCACTTTGCAATTCTTAAGCATAAAAGATTTTAGGCCCCTGGGAATTGAAATCGAATTGCTAATACATCATATTACTGTTGTTGTGCATTAAATAAATGCATAAATTTTGCTTTATGCACTCGCGTGTGCAGTAATTTTGACAGTTATGCTATTTTAAATTCCCAGGCGCCTAAAATCTTTTGTCTTTAAAACAATGTCGATTTCTTGGAAAATTCCGAGGTTGCGCTTTTTTTGATACACACTGTA